GGGGGGGGGGGGGGTAAATAATACCCGTCGAAAAGTCTTCAGTGTTGTTCGTGATATTAGATGGCAACGCTGTTGATGATAGTTGAAAGTACATCGACCAATCAAAGAGAAGAACGTATTCTAGGCGCGCAAGGCTGAGTACGTGAAACTCATTTGCTACGCGTTCGTCTAGCACGTGCGACCACTGTTCTTCGCGCAGCGAACGTTGTGCGCGCGGCGTCTTTGGCTTCTCTACTCTCGTTCGGCACGCACACTCCAACGGGTTGCTTCTATACTTCCACTAGCGAGAATCCTTTAATATCAAGTCGATCGTCATGGCAGAAGAGTATCTTTATGGTAAATATTAGAAGCTGTGTTATCGGGAACGTTGTGGCTCCTTTATTTTGTGGAGCACGCTATTACTTTCGTCGTCATTGGCCATTCGACGCGAGCGGTATTATGGTCGAGACGCCGGCTGGTTTTCGGCCATTGTGACGAGGAGACCCCATTGTCCCCTAAAGAGCTAACGATCTTGATTTTTTTTTATCAAACTATGGTACAACGGCAAGCATTTACGATATTCCGTGTGCGTACTCTTGTGATTTCTGTGTTCAGGAATTACCCTCGAAGGACTGAATTCTAGCGAGGTATGGGATCCAGAGCATAAAAACGACGACTCAGACGGAACAAACCAACATTTCGGTGCCGATCAGAAGCTGATTATAAAAATGGTAAGTAAAAAATATCGATAGAAATTCACCGGAAATTTGCGTTATATTTTTTCTTCTTTTTTTTTGTTATTGCTGCTTGATACATTATATACGTTTCGTTTGCTTTTCGTTATGTTCGGTTAAGAGTAACGGATTTTCATTAACGCGCGATTTCATCGAGAATCGCCCTTTTATTCGATTTGCGATGTATATCTCTGATTTATTTCCATACAAAGTTGCTGTATTTTTACGAACTCGCCAATATTTCGTATATGTGTCTATTAACCGTGCAAAAATATATGACCAATATTTGGCGTCACTAGCAATCACGATTTTTCGAGCGCTTTCATCACTTCTTGTTAGGTTTGCGCGCGAATTTTTAATCGTAATAGGAAATTAAAATGCTGCTCTTTATTATAGCCTCCATTCTTTGTTTTCACGCGCTAGAACCCTCTTTTTGTTTCCGAATTTTCGAGAAATGAAAGCAATGAAGATTTGTGATCTTGATGTTTGTTCCGTGAATGTATATTATTTACATATATTTTAATGTAAAAATATTCGCTAATTATAGATAAACAATCCAACGTTTATAAACGTATGTAAATCAAGAATGTTTGCCAAGCTCCTTTTTTTATAGAAGCGTTCATAACTGTTTGTAGCAGTCATATTTTACAATTGATTAGGATGAAGATTTTATTTCTACATAAATGGGACTCCTTTCATAAATTTGTGTAATAATTATACACAATTGTGGTTCTTGTTGTCATTGCCTTACATGAAACACTGTTATTTCTATATACATGCATATGTATGTATATGTACTTTTTTTATGTATTTTATAGGCTCTTCTAGGCCCAGAGGCTAAACCTGGTGAACTTAATGTATTACAAGTTGAAGCAATGGGCTTAAAAGGACCCATCAAAACACCGATTGCTCTACTGGAGATGGGAAAAACTGCACAGATTATTCTGGATCTCAGTTTTCCTGACCCTCCAGTCACATTTACTTTGGTTAAAGGAAGTGGTCCTGTTCACATAGTAGGACATAATCTACTTGGTAAGAACGAATATTGTCTATTGCTATATCGAATTTAGGATACTTTTTATAGCAAAACTTTAACATCTTATTTGTATAATTAAGTTTCTAATAAAATGCATGTTAAGGTATTGATACCCTTTTTTCGAGTAATCAATTGTATTAAATTTAAACATTACATAGAGAAGGGCGATAATTGCAACTGGACGCCTTTTAACAGTTGTGATAATAACAATCTAGCCAATTTAGATGGAAACTCGAACTGCAAAAGTATTTGAACAATATCGTCAAACGTTAAATTTATGGAAATACATATTTCAGAGCTCTTTTATCTAGTTATGATAATTGTTTTACAATAATTTGTCAAGAACGTTTTGTTTGTTTTCTTAGAAAATGCATATGAAATTAAAGATGTTGAAATAAACCATACAATATTAATTGGGATTTTTCAGGTACACACATGGAGGAGTTTGATGATATGGATGATGAAATGGAAGAAGAGAACATCGATGATGATGATGATGATAAGGTATAGAAATTATAATGATTAATCTAGAGTAATGATATAGATAATATGTACATATTAAAAGTTGTTGAAAAAATTACAATTAAAGAAAAGATTGTATTAATAACTGACATTCTAATTAGGCTTGCATAAGATCTTTTTGAGAATTGATATATGGAAAATGCGGAATATTTTCGACTGAAACAATTATATATAAATAGATCAACTTGATATTAGCAGTCTTTGTTATGCTTTTATTATGTATATTACCAGAGGTGATAGTATTTCATTTTCTATATATTAGGAATACAAATTTCAGGCACCGCAAAAGAAAAGAAAGCATTCTGCAGAGGGTAAAAAAAATGGCACGAAGCGTGCCAAGATGGATGAAGCTGTAGACAAATAGAGTCCTAATATTAAAATGCTGCTATTCAATCATCCCCGAAAAACAAGTTTTACCAAGAGTATTTTAAAATCCCATTATATGACTTAAAATTTCCCCGGGGGTGCGGGGGGAGGGCGGGAGGGCACTGAAGATTGAGGAATAAATGAAAGTCGTGGATATAACTTTCTGCGTTTGTATTTTCATTCCATGTGTCTTTTCTTTTTTTCCATAATAAATCATCCCATTTTAAAATAGTTGCTTTTATTCCTTACTTATCATGTTTCCTCCTTTTTCCATTTTTTGTGTTCAGATTATAGTTTTAGTGTTATAGGAACAGGAAATGCATTAGAATGTCAGTAAACAATACAATCTCTTATAAAACAAAATTTTGCATCTAGGTTTCCATTTTAATGTAACACTAGTATTTGAAACTTTGCGAAATATCTGCACAGTTATATTCTATTTGTTACTTTAACATGTTAGGAGCCAGAAGATGAGGAAGACGATGAAGATGAACCCAAGAAGAAGAATGCCAAATTATCAACTGCAGCCAAATACAAAAATCAAGCTAATAAGAACAAGAAAAAATAAGCACGAGCCTTATTATTATGGAAACAACAAACTTTTAAGTTAGGCTAAGCGTAAGTCCATCAATATCATCCGCATTTGTGCGAATCTAGTATCGTTTCACCAGATTATCAGACGACAACGTTGCCTTCCACGTTTCTACAACACAACTGGACCAATGAAAACTATTATAAAATATTACGCTATGTACGAAGAATAATGTCGCATTTCTTTGATGTATAAAAATTTTAATTATGTCATATGTCTGTTACGAACAGAAAGTGGAATTTATTTTAATAATATTTTTCCCAAAATGCCTTAGAGGAATGACCCGTATTAAACAAACTCTACGGGATATTAAGAATGTGAATCAAAAATTATTTTTTTGACAAAATTTTATGGAGTTGAAAGTTCAAAGGGCATTCTTCTGAGAGCCAATTGTATGTGTTAACTCGCTTTGTTTTGTTACGGGGCTGCTAAAGAAAAGAAAGAAAAGACCAAATTGTGATGAAAATTACTAAAAAAAAAAAAAAAAAAAAAAAATGAAAAACTAAGATGCATCTTGCTCGTTGAATTATAACGAGTATTATACTTCAGATATTTCATATATCATGGCATGTTGCGTATAATTACAATTTTCCACAAATGACAATATGGACATAATTTAAAATAGAAAAGAAATTAGTAAGAAAATGTGAGTAATATATTGATCTGATACGATATTGTTGTAATAAATTGTCGATCAAATGGTGTAATACAGCACTAATTCTAATTCCTTGTTATAGTAAAAGTAAAACTACAAACGGTGCGATTATTACCCAATAATTAAGCGTATTATCGTAATTTATCGAAAAAAAAAAAAAAAAAAAAAAAAAAGTGTAATGCGATGTAAAAACAAATGTGAATTTTTAAAAGCAAATGTGGAAAAAATAAACATATTTGGCCCAGTTGTTGTTAATAAAATTAGTGGAAAGCACGGACGGACCCACAGTGAGGTGTATTCGTATTGTTTCCTTTTTGTCTTCTCCGATGCCGTGTTCACACATCGATACTTCCAATGATGCGAAGATACACTATTCTAACGTAGTAATGTAAACGCGATTCGCAGAAAAAGAAAAAAAAAGATGAATTACTATGCTCCTTAAGGGAAAACAGAAACAAATTTCGAAGATAACGTTCCAGTGTAATTTATTATTTTCGTGTGTACAAGATGGGGAAAGGGTAATAGTCACAGAACCCTTATGCTAGAATGTTATTAATGATTGTAAAGAGGATAAAAAAAAAAAATGAGATCAGGATTTTAAAAAAGAAACATAGTTACGAGTCATCTCGATATTCATTCCATTTGATGAAAGATAACAGAAGAGGGGATTACACAGGTGTACTACACAATGTGATGCTCTTACATCAATGTCATATGCGATAAAAGCATATGTAATGCGTGCATAGGACACGCCCATACGATTGATAAGTAGTCTGTACACCTATTTTGTACATATACGATACAATAAAAAATTTCACAACTTTTAATCAGTATTGCACGATGTAATCTTTATTTAGACGCCTTTCCTGATTGTACAAGAAAAATAATGTATTCGTAGTTTGCGGAATTTTATGACATCCAAGCGTTTGTCATTTGTTAGTACAATCAAAGATATATAATAATTATTTAGTGAAAATGATTTTTCGCCATTATGTGAAGAACAAAAATTGCCTGTTTATAAAATTCTCGATGAAATAAATACAAGCATCATGTTAATGATTTTTAATTTATAAGAGGTACATCAGCTTATCTTATTAGGAGAGTCCTGTGACTGTTTACAAAGGAACAGAACCTAAAAATTTTATAGATTACTATATAACTAAATTTTTTGACATACTAAGGTAAGTGAAACATCATCAATGAAATTAACAATACGAAACATTTTGATGTGATGTAGTCGAAGGTCAAGAAAATTTCACCGCTGATCGCTAGCACGTAATATTCGCTATTATGATATGCAGAATATTAGTTGTAAAAACGGCTTGAACAGGAGTACAGACGCGAAGATTTTTCACTCAAGTAGACAATGTCAAGTAGCCAGCGAGAAATTAACAAGTTTATATCAACAAGTACGTTGAATACGAGTCGTTTCATATGGATATTTAATCAGTGGTCCTAATGTATGTTTATTTGAAAGGTGGCAGACCTGAAGGAAACAGTTGTATCATTAGAAAACATAATACAATTAAAGGATGTTCAGTTGCAAAATATGCAAAGAGATAATGGTCGACTATCGGCTGAATTGAAGAAACAACAAAGATACGTGAGGAACCTGAAACGTAAGACTTTGGAAACTTGATTCGAGTTCATCGCGATTCTTAAATGTATCGACTTAATTTCAGAGCAGTTGGACGATGAAAGATTCCTCTATCAGAGAGAAAAGGATTTCTTTGACAGTGAAATGCAACGACAAAAAGTACGATGTGGCGCCTCGAAATTATCTCAACGAAGAAAAGAATTAGAAGTGGTACGAGAATGTTTGGAAGATGAGAATAAATCGCTGCGAGAAGAATTAAACGAAAAAGTGGAGACAACGTACAATTTGTGTATAAAGTTTTTGCGAATGAAATATGCTAAGGATTCGTTAAGGGAGAAATTTGATCAATTATTGAAGGAGCATCTAGGAGTAATGTCGGATATGATGGAGAAATTAGACGAAGCAAGAGAAGAACTCAATATAATCGTCTCCGAAAAATTTCAAGACCCTTTACCTTTGAGCAAAGCAAAATTTTTGCAGGTGACTTTCATAAAATTGATCCTAACCATTTCTCAATTGTATAATGTTTTATTTTTTATTTTCTTTTTTTAATATAAAAAGAAATCATTGTTTATCGCGTGAGCCCTCAGGTGGTGCAACGAAACGCTCGACTAGTTCACGAAAATGCGACGCTCAGAGTGCAAATACAGCAATTGACGTTAAACATCGAAAGATTAAATAACTGTATGCAAAAGACGAAGTCAGTGAACGTAGACGCAAAAATTATTGCCAAACTAGCAACGCAAAATAAAAAAAGACGTAGCAAAGAATTTACAAAATGGCTACCGTTTCAGTAAGATCATACGTTTCGTAATAGATGTCAGTATATTATCTGCTTTTTTAAAATACATTTTGCTATCTTTTTTTAATGTTTTCCTTCTTGCATCCTACTCTTCTTTACCCCGAAAATTGATCGGACGTATTTATTTCCCCCTAGTTTATATGAAAAGGAAGTCGACAAAACTTTGTCTCTTACTAAGTCGTCGAATACCGAAAATCCCGTTGATTACTCTGGAGATGCGAAATTAGTGTCGAAATTTCGATCGGATAGTATAAAAAAGTACGCGACTGCTACGGTACAAGAAATTCAAACTGAAGAAACACGGAAATTGCGAACGGAACGTGCGCGCAGCGCACCAGAAATTCGACTAGCGAAAGCACAACCAAGCTCGTCGGCGAATATTTGGGCATAGCTTTTGGTCGAATGAATGTACGGCATGCCGTAACGAATACTTAGAACTACGAATCTAGGATGTTGTTGTAAAAATGTAAATGTTATAATTATCTTTTTTATATTTATTTTCTTTTTCGTTGGAAACATATCGACTGTAGAATATAAAATGCGATGTATCAACTGTAGATTAAGTGGCGTGAAAGTAAACTGTTTAAACGTTGTTCCACCAGAGGGCGAGTTCGGTATGAAACAATCAGTTTTATTTGCTCGGTACCGCGTTAAAGTCGTTGTGTCTTGGTCGACTGTGTAATTTTGCGATAAAAATAATTTCAACAACCTTGGAAGACGAAAATGATGCGGCAAAAAGACGACACGAAACTTCCGGTTCGAGAAAAACTGCCGCATCGAAATAACGTTCTAAATCTTCCCTTTCTGGTAAGTAAATTAATTTGCGTAATCTGTACATACACGGAACGGATAAATCGAACGAAATCAACGGTGAACATCGATCGATGCAAATGCGAGGTAGTAATTACTTGGTACGGTAAATCGTTTACGGATAATTCTATAGCCAATACGGGCAATGAAAGCCAAGCTTAAGAATCATGAAATTAGCTGATCTCGTAAATTCGTAATACGATATTCGAATTCTTGATCGCAATAACCTTCGAGATACAATATGCAGCGCCACCTGAGTATTAAAAATTTACGACGCGGAATATCGCGCAACGTTTTATTTCGAAACGACGATACATAATCCGAATCGTTAAAGAGAGGCGATTTCTAGGGATAAAAATTCTTCTTACTGGGACAAATAAAATATACCGATATAGAATAAATAAAAAGGGATAAGGGGAATAATATTCGATATTATTTAAAGGAATTAAAACGCGATAGCTACTGTCACGATATTCGCGGCACTCGTCGATAACGAGAAAAGTAAAGTCGTGACGAGAAATCGGCAGGGTCTCGATACTTATAAACGTCGTTACGACAGAAAGCCAGTGATTACGTTAGAACGACGAGAATTGCCGGTGTGTATACGAGGGTGTGGGTAAGAAGGCAGAGGAGAGGACCGGGTAGCTTCGTCTCGTTTCATCTTGTCGGTTCTCGTGCGGCGAGGAGCCGGTTCGAGGCGAAGCCGGGTTTTAACGATCGGTCATTAAGTCGCGAAGAAAATTGAGACGTCCACCTCTCGGTGAGCTCATACCCAATTGAGTAGCGGCCTTAATACCCCTTATGTATTATCCGGTAGGCGAAGCACCTTGTTAAACGGATCCGCCATTTCTTCTTCTCACTTCGTGTTTTTCCACGGTGATCGTGGCTCGATCGAAAACCCGACACTGCCGTAACAGTTCTTCGCTCCCGTTTCTTTCCTTTTCCTCCATAGTTTGTCCGCGACCATTCGAATTTCCATTTTCGCGTTTTATTTCCAATTGCCAACTCGCGGATTATCAATCTGTCCCTTATCGTCGGATACATAGATCTCAGTGTGAATTTCAATTTCGACGAACGCGTCAGACCTTGAAACGTCGATTCGTCGACAAACTCTTTCCCCTGGCTTCTCGAGGTACGATAGAAAATAGAAACGTAGAGACTCGCGTGTGTCTTTTTTCCTTATAAATACGTAATAATAAGGACGATAGATCAACGAGGAATTCGGTAACGCGTGTTTAATCGTCACGTGACACCTCTTTTCCCGGTGTGTCAGATCTTTGAGTAATGGCCTCTTGGAGAATGCGAACGTCGATCCTGATTACCGATTCCCGATCCTGTTCCGTTTCTGATTGCGGGTATTAGCGCGTACGCCGGTTATCGTTCATCGGACGTCATGCACGGTACGAACCCGGCATAAATGTGCCGCGAAAGACAGTCTGTTAGATCCACGAAGGATTTCGATACACGTCGATCAATCGTGCACGATCGACAAGCCCTCCGCTTCCACATTGTTTCAAGCCTTTCCGGCTCGGTTGTCTCGCGAAAAGTCTGCTTTTAACGTTTCAAGCTGGCGCGGCGCGTGTTGCACATTTTTATTCTCTCTGTTGTTTAAACAATTTTTTCCCCCATACCGGAATATCGTATCTCTCGTGTCGTGGAATAAATCGGTCGGCTAAATCGAAAAAACTATTCGTTACGACTAAGTTTTTCGTTCTCTCGATTTTCGTTCTTTTTTCGCCGACGAAACGTAACCGTACAAACGCGATACGTTCATTTTGACGTTCGGTTTTCTATTCGTTCGTTCTATCGTTCGTTACGTGGCGGCTAAAAGGCAATACGTATCTCGATACAGGTACTTGGGTAGTTGGAAAAAAAGCTGCTTAAACGCAGAGTTACAAGCTTCTCAGAGATAGCTCGCAGCTTTCCCTTCGTTTCGCGATAGACTAATGGCAAAACGTTTGCGACGATCGACAGATATTTTCGAAACGTTCGACGCTCTTAAAATCGTTCGTCCGCGAAACGTGAAAAATATGATTCGTTTGGTAGCATTCGATGGTCGAAAGAGAATTTCCTACGCGTAAAACAGTCGGCCAATTGGCACGTTCACCGCGTCCAGAGTCTAGGTGATAGCGTAACGAATTCAGAAGCGTAGAAGCGTCTTGGTGGCGAGATGCGTTAGCGTGGGGCATCCGTTATCGGCGATCGGGCGCCGCGGAACAGGGTGAAACCGGTATAAATATGCCGTCAAAGGACAAGTAAGATGACAGCTGCCGTACATACGTAATATTTCATCGTTAACAAGCGGACAACGAGCGACTCCGGCCGGTTATGCCATCCATTGTCGAAGATTACATCGTTATTTCATTGTTTTACCGGCCGATTCAAATTCGCTTTTTGCTGCCCGCCTCGTGCAGCGTACACGAATCAATATGTTCCGTAATAATCGAGTTATCGCGGGACGCAACGTTTTCCTTTCGGCGCAAGGGAGAAACAGGTCTGTTTACTGTCCCGTGGCGTCTCTTTCCCTTCTCGACGATTGCCCCTCTCCACTATATTTAAAAAACAATTTTCACGCGTCGATCGATCGTTTCGTCTGCATAGGACCGAGCTTTTAAAAAGGCCTTAATCGCGTCAGACGAATCGTTGCGGCGTAACGTTTCAACGAGCTCGCTCGCGCTATTTGCCAGTCGCAAAGCTGACAAAAGTACGCGTCGAACGAAAGACCGCGTAAACCTAAAGCCGTAAACCTAATCCGGACTAACTGATAACTGGAAATGCATCGCGTTGCGCGAATCTCAGCCTGTATATACTCGAAGGATCGGTTTATGGAACTACGTGGCAGAGGATCGGAAGCACTTTCCTACAAACCTATCTTGCGATCTAGCCGATAGCGATCGATCGAAGCGACGCCGATCGTTGCTGTGTCCGAGTGGCCGCGGTACCGTCCGATTTTCTGCGAACGATCGCGAGTCGAAATTAATTAGGGGCCTCGCAGGAAGCTGGCTCGCTGCCGAAGGATATCGAGCGTCGAAGGGGATGGCGGGGAGCAGGCCAATCGTGCGCCTTCATTGCCCTCGACGCGTTTCAGGCCGTGAGCGTTAATTGGCCGGACCAATTAATTCCAACAAGTTCGCTCGATGCGATTAGTGCGCGTACGTGCTGGTGTTTGTGCGACCTGTACACACGTGTACCTTTAACGTGGTGTCCGGGCGCACACACGTACGCCTATGCAGTCTCGTTGCCTCTTAATTCTTCGTTTTTCTCCGTTCTCCTCTCTCTCTGTTCGCGGTAACAAGCGAACACCGATCTGCCCCCGGAAAACGAAGAACCTGTTCCACACGCGGCGGAGGTTTCTCGCATTCTCGGCTGCTCCGCGACACCAGATACCGTCGTTGTTCTCTCGTGCCTTCGGGGAACAGGAATCGGACGCAATAACGAAAACACAAATTACGGGAGCACCGAGTGCCGATCGTCTCGCCACGATAATCTTTACCCCGCGCCGGCCGGTGGTCGCGTTCCATTTTTTAAATCGTTTCTTCCTTCCCTCGGACCTTCCACTATCGACCACCGTTTTTCCCGCTGTTTGCAATTTTATCGAAATCCGATTGCCTGCTTTCTAGTGCCTGCCGCGCTGCACGGTGTCGAGCGGTTCTCGCTCGAATTAACGATAATTACGTAATTTCTTGTCTTTCCTCGTTGCTGTCCGTATTTCGCGTCTTATTAGCTTTTTATTCGTTAAATAGAAAATTCTACGATAATTCTAACTCGATAGTGACCGTTCGTCTCTCGACGACGCAACTTTTCATCGACACGCCACTCTTCTGCTTCGCAATCTCGCCATGTGCGAGCAAATCGCTTCTGGCGTGGAGATTCGCCGGGTTCTCAGTCGCTGGTCGGCCACGCGAATTCTCGTTTCCATATTACTTTCGGAGTCTTTCGGCAACGAGCGAAAACCCATAGGCGCGCGATCTAGGAACGACGAATCCCTCGGCGAGTTCTCGGCGAAAGACACTGCGACTTTCGCGAAAATACGAATCGACCGACAGAACGGCAGTCGCGTTCGAGAATTTATCGCGTCGGCTCTCGCCTCGTCGCTTGGCTATCGGCGGTGATCTCGATCCTCGCTGATAAAATATCTCCGTCGTGCTCGTTTGGACCGACCTCTCGCCTCGTTCTGTCCGAGACTTGATCGCTGCATCAAGTACGCCAACGTATGCGTAGCTTCGCTCGAGATCGCGCGAACCACAGGATAAAGTTGAGAGGTGCGTGCGTATCGCGTTTCCGCGTTCGCGAAGACGCGCGTAATTAGTCGAATCCGTGGCGTTCGAGCTGAGCCGTTGGCTCTCAAGCCGTGTAATTAGTAGCAACGAATCGTCGTTTCCTTTCCAAGAGACTCGTCGTCCGTACTTTTCGCCTTTCGCGAAGAGACGCGTAGTCACCAGTCGTAGTTCCGACTGGACGATCCATCGACGAACTGTACGGCGAATCTCCGCAAAAGAGGCCGAAAGCAAGAGGAACGGAGACGCGAATCGGTGCGAACGCGCAGAAAAGATTCTATCGTCGATCCGCTGATCGATCGACGAACCGTCGTACGATGAATCGCGCTGTAAAATAGCAGAGAGGGAAAAAGAAAGTGGAAAGAAGAAAGGAGTGGCGTTTGAGAGAATACGCTCGGCAGCGGCGCGGAAAAGGGTCTGTCGGAAACGTCGTATATGTATCGTGAATTTCTCGGAGCTCGGAGCACCGCCGTTCAAAATTAGACTCGGGGCGCGTGTATACCTTGCGTCCGGAAA